CATCTTGGCTCTGCCAATAAAAATACATTCTATTTCTTTTCAGAAGTGTGTTATCTGACGCTTTCCCAGTAACCCAGTTTCCTGTAGGAGATAAGACTGCCTGGATAAGCAGGTGCCCATCGGCCTCATCTGAGGTTCGGGTGACTATTTTGGGGTTGTATACGTGGGGGAGAAAAAAATGTGACCGCATTCCATGAGGTAGTCTCTAGAAGAAATATAAGAAATGTAGTTCACAAATATTAATCCAATTGCTTCGATCTCCAAAAACACTTTATTCAAAATCATTTTTCAACAATTGATCAGGAAAAAAATTCATCCTGAGAGTTGACTGCCCATTTTCCATTCTGTACATAAATTCTAATTTTCTCTCACCCACCGAGGACCTGACAGGGTGGCTGGCAGGTGTGGGTTGTAGAGCTGGTTTCCGGGCTGTAGGTGGCATCAGCTGCCTCTTCAGGCTGGAAAGGAGCATCCTTTGTTGAGTGCTTTCTTTATTCACCCTAAAGAGGCCACAATTCAGAATGTGCACACACTGACGCTGGATCTGTAGACACTCTGCTGATCCGTGGAACATGTGCTTTTTCTCCCTGCCCCGCTGGCACGTAACACCTCCCACGCACGTAACACCTTCTCCCCCGCACGTAACACCTTCTCCCGCGCTTCCAGCGGCTTTGTATCCGGATCCTGTGAAATTTACCAAGGCCGCAGTGTGCGCGTGGAAGCCCCGCCGGCACGGGCGGGGGCGGGAAGGAGGGATTGTGCACGTTGTCGCTTGCGCACACTTCCACGTGCATCCTCGCGAAGGACCAGTTCCCCTTGTGATGACTCCAGATGCAGATGCCGGGGCTCTTGATCTTGAATATTCGCGATCACCGCGTTTATACGCAGCGGCGTGCTGTCTTGAGTTAAACATGTCACAGGAAAACACTGCCGTGTGCGTCCACGTCTGTGTCTTTATTTTCCAGGTACACTTGGACTATATTTTCTGCGCTTGATTGTAGTTCTTGTTTCAAATTTTAGAATTAAGGACCCAAATGAGTTTGTCTCAGATCACAAATAAGATCGCTTATAAAGCCAGAGGAATTCTTTTCTTAATTGATTTATTTTTAGTAAATAAGCATGTGTTTGGCAAACGTTTCTGATGTGTACTTATTAAAATTTCTCATGCACACACGCGCGCACACACACACACACACACACGCGCGCGCGCACACACACACACACTCCCCTCCCCCATCTCCCACCCACCCCGCCCCTGCCTGGAGCACTTGCCACTGTCACCAGTTTCTTCTTCTTACCAAAACACTCCACGAATTTCCATATTCATACATATGGATATCATTGCTTTTCCCTCAAATGGCAGCACAGTATACAGCCGGCTCTCCATCTCTCTGTGGGCTTTTTTCTCTTTTTTTAATTTTAAAAAGTTAGATGTTTATACAATCCGTGAGGTGATTCCCCCCAATGACTCTAGCACCCACCTGGCATTACACGCTGCCATTACAATAAGATTGGCTACATCCCCTATGCTAAGAAGTTGTGACCAGGCAAGACCCTTCAGGCCGTGTGGCTCCAACCGGTCACATCTCCACAAGGACCCTTCCAGACACTGGGTCCCCACGTATGTGCCTCGCACGAGCTCATGGGTGTTCCATCCCGCTGACCTTGGTACTCTCACAGGCAGCTTTTGCACAGAGATGCCACCTCGCGGAGTGGACGTCTGGAGTGTCCGGCGGGCACCGTGAGCAGAGCTGCCCCTTCCTGTCTGTGGGAGGAAGTCAGAGTCCAGAGATGTGAGAGCACTGAGGACACACGCACGCCCCTTAAAGACACAGCTGTGCCCAAAGGACAGAGTTAATCCCCAGTTCTCTCACATGGCAGAGGCCTCCCCGACCTGGAGGGCTCACCGGTTTAGCCTTAGTTAAATCAATGGCCACCACAGTCTTACGTTTGCCACAGTAGCTCAAAGGTGCCACAGTGTCTTCCTCCTCATTCTCTCTCTCCTCGAAAACATAACAGTGACATTTCCCCCAGGTGCAGGTCAAAGGAATAAAGAGTAGTTTTTTAATTATCTGAGGTCTGTATTCCTGAGCCTCTTCCAGAGCTGTCCAGCCTGGGCTGCGTGATGCTGGCTGCCACAGTGGCCCCCGCTCAGTCAGTGGGGAGGCCCCCGTGGCCGGGTGTCAGCAGCTGCTCCTAGGGAGGCTCAGGGACACTTCAGGAAAGTGGCGACATAAGAAAATAACCCTGAACAATGTGATCAGTTGGGATTTGTTTCAAATTCTGCAAGGATTCCAGTTCAGAGGGTCTCCGAATGGGTCTGCCCACTTCGATTTCGATGGCTGGGATGATTTTTCTGTGGAATGATTGCTGACTTTAAATTCTTTCCTCTAGAACCAAACAAATAAGAAAGGAAAAAAGCAAACCACTGAGTTTTAAATGATGTGCAGGCCCTACGCCCTGTAGGATGCATATGAAGTAAACGGGTCAGTACTTCAGGTTCTCACGATACCGCAGCAGCAGTTTAAGTGTCTGGTTGCATCCTCCCATCAGAGCGAAGCGAAAACCTGCTGGCGACTCCATTCTTAGCCTAAGACTTCAAGTTAGTGCCTATTATTCACTCATTCCCACGAAACACGTGCGCTTGATTTTAATCGGAAGACATCTCAACGCCAGCAGCGCCTTGGACTTCCGACTGCGGCGCCCATTCTCTTAGACTAACTATGAAGAGCAGGAGGAGGGGGAAAGTCTTCCCGTGAGCAAGGACAGATGTGCAGGACCCTGAGATGGCCAGCTGTTGCTGTCCCGGGTCTCGGGGAGGGGCGGGGACACGGTGCTAAGCCACGCTGGCCGGTCTGTACAGACAAGACAGGACAGCTCTGCCAGGCGTGCGGCCCGCTGCCCAAGGCTGGGTGGGACGAGGCAAAGAGCCGGGTCGGTGCAGGGCGTCCTCAGTCAGAGGCAGCCTGCGACCCCCCCACACCCTCAGCCCCTCCTCGTGGAGGGTACCACGTGGCCTCATCTTCTAAACCGATGGGTCTTTTCCTATTAAACACTCAGGCCTTCCTCCCACACTAATGGTGACGGGGACGGATGCTCTCTCACCCACTGGGGAGAAATGTGTATTTTCTCGTTTCTGTACATTCTCCATCACTGCGTCACAGTTAGAAGTGACTGGACCCCTCTTCGGGCTGCACTTGTCAATGGATTCCTGGCCACCCGGTTCCCCCTCCCTGTGAATCAGGTCATTATCTCATTCCTTGCCCAGAACCAAGTTTGTATTGGCCATATCTGTATTAACCCTACAGAACTGTCCTTTTATGATGAGACATAAATATTAAAGAACAGTGTTCCGGAATGCTTGATCACTGCCACGGCAGGAGAAAGCAGAATCCCAGATGAGCCGAGGCCTGTCTGCTGCTACTCTTAAATGAAACGTCCTGTTTTAAAGAACAGCCATCCAATCTTAAACACTATTCAGTGATCTCGTTGGAGGAGGTTTGTCTCTTATTTATCGGAGGAGGTAATATGTGAGTTTGCGTGCCTTTGCTTTTGTTTTGTAATTTCGAACAGTCAGAAAATATTGCATTCACTGGCAATCAATTTATTTTGATTAATAAAAAGGGGTTAATAAAACCCCCCTTAGAAATAAAAAGGTGAACAGTAATATATCTTTCATGGTGCTTTCTTTCGGCTGTGCATAGAGAGAGCGAGGTTTTTTGACTTCTCCCCAATAAGTCTTCTCTCCTTATTTTCTATACCCAGTGAGTCATTTATAATCCTTATTATTTCCAACCCACACACTAATGCGGCATCAGTCATATCTCCATGTGCCGAGGTTTCTCTGTAGTAGGCTGAGAGCTGAGAGGCAAAGCACCCTATAACTTATGCGAAAACACCTGCCAAGAACGGATTATCAAACATAACCAATGTGACTTCATGCACTTGTAAGTGAAAAAATTTTAGGATGAAATATAAAACATGCTAAAATTTCCATCTATTGTTGAAACATAGCGTAGCACAGAACGTACAGTGGTGTCTGCCGTTTAAGAAACATTAAGGAGAGAAGCAGGAATAAGTTAGAATGAGATACAATTAACGCTTCCGGTCAAGCCTAAACCTATTGGTTTTAGGAGGCGTATTTGTGGTTTATTAATATTTTTATTTATCTACGGCACCTATGAAGAAAATGCAACACGACAGAAAATCCTTGCCTTCTGCGTGTAGTGAGTGTTCACAGTTACTGTAGCGGGTGGATCGGGGCATAAGCTTTACCCAGGATCATGTAAATCCCTCACTGGGCTGGTCATAAAGTCTTTCAATAGTAAATAACGATCTATTTTTGGTCATCCCCGAAGAGCACATTTACAAAAGCAGGAAATAATTCAGGGCACTAGCTTAGATCACGATGGTCTCCATGTAGAGAAATTATTATTATTATTATTATTATTATATTTTAGGCGAGGCAATCCTTGGTTGACCTCACAGATTGCAAGGACCTTGTCAGTTTGCAATCCCTTATTTCTATTTTTCATGCTTACAGCACCTGGTCCTCCTAGGTGGTCTCCCATCCAAGTACTAACCAGGCCCGAACCTGCTTTGCTCTCGAGATCAGATGGGATCGGGCTTGTTCAGGGTGGCATGGCCGTAGACTAGAGAAATTATTTTGAAAGTTTAAAAGCAGTAGGGCATTTTATTTTCTGCCATAATAAAATAGGCCATATCATTATGAGGATTACATTTAGAAAATCTTATACTGTCTTGCCATTAAAAAAAAAAAAAAAAACAACCTGGGCTAAAATGACATCAGAACAAAGCTGTGACCCTTTGCAAAATGAACACGTGCTGACCGTCCAGGGAGAAGAGCACCCTCCAGACCCTAGTCCTCCTGGGGTGGGGCGCCCTGTCCACAGTGAGCGGGCCGTGCAGGCTGCCTGTGCGCTGCAGAGAACCCCGAGGCGGAAGACGAGGGCCAAGCACGGGCCCTGGCGACAATCCCGACCCGCCACTCTTGACTAACATTTTTAAAGTTTTCAAAAATGTGAGACAGTAAGAAGTTAAATATACTGGGTACAATAGGAGAGGTTAGTATGCATGCGTGAGTGGTACCCAAACGACTGATGTTTGGTAAACTGTGCTAAGCTACACTGCATCTTTCTAAATATACCTATTGCTGTTTATAGTATTAGAGAAAAAAGTACTCATGAGGCTTGTCAAAACATAGCAAGGCAGACTTTATTCAGGGGGACCATGACAGGTATAGGGACCATCGTAATGGGGTATGCAGTAGGGGAGTGATTAGGGTCGACTCCGAATATAGGGCCAAGTGGGTATTTACAGCCAAGGAGCAAGGTCGGGGGGGAGGGTAGGGTCAGTGATAGAAGATTGCGAAGAGGAAACATCAGAGTAAGGGGGGCGTCCTGCTAACCACCCAAAGAGGACTCTTGCTGAAGGCAGGCTAGAGTAATGAGACATCACCGGGAGAAGGTGAGGCATGAGGACCCCATCAGATCTCAATGGCCGGGGGTTCTAGTTAAGCTGACTTAGCACGATTCTTGCTAAAACTGGACAATGTAGAGACGGAAGCCCAGAATTCGGGGCGTAGTTTAGAATTCAGAGGAGCCTGGGTAGAGTTTGGCCAAGGAGAGGTTCTGTGGCCAGTTCAGGGGCTAAGCTCCGGCCCCCAAGCCCATTCCCCAGTGGCGGTCTCTAGCAGAGGTAATAGTACAGGTGCACAATAGTATCGTTTCAATTCTGAAATGCAAACGTTCTGAAAATCAGAAGTTTCTCCTGAAGTTTGGAGTAAACTAATTTGAACTGATCTGAGCATTTATAGCCTTTAGATGTCCCACTTAGGGTGACTATTTGTCACACATCTTTGCTTCAGAACTATTGTGTTTGATTTTAGGCTGTTGTCCCAGACCCCGCTGGAAATGTTTTATACAGGGTTATATACTGCAAAAAAAAAATGCCCCAAATTCTGAATTCTAACACATCTAAAAACAAAGAGGTTTGCCCCTGCCCAGCTTTACTGAGATGTAATTGATATATAACACTGTGTAAGCTTAAGGTATACAACATAATTTGATACATGTACATATTGCAAAATAAGGTTAATTAACACATCAACACATTTATCGCCTCATATGGTTACATGTGGCGAGAACTTTTAAAACCTACTCTTAGCAACTTTCAAATATACAACACAGTATTGTTAACCATAATCACCATGTTGTACATAGTATGTTACCCTAAGATGATACCTATTAAGAGGGGTTATTGGTGGCTAACTGGGTTAAAACTTAAGAACAGAGCCTACCAGTTGGGCCTCTGCAAAACCACACTTCCGAGGAGAAGTCTGCACCAAGTTGTCTGCCCGTGGAGCCAAACTGCCCACCCACACTGTGTTCCTGCCAGCTGAGCCCACTCTTATAAAGGAGTTCCTGGAATTATATTTCAACCAATATGACTGGGACTTTCCCCAGTTGGAGCTGCTACAACCACAGTCCCTATCAACTTCACTGACCAATCAGGACGGTGCTTTTTGGGCCAATCAAACTGTGAGAACTTGGGAGTCTTCAGTTGCTTGAGGACAGACAATCAGGGACCACGAGAGGGGACTTGTCTCTGTAAGTCAGCTCCTGTGATTTGAAAAAGAAGTATTTGCCCCACCTCTGGAGGGTGCTTGCTCCAGGACCTCTCACAGCCTCCTCGTTCCTTAGAGTTCATCTGTAACGCTATTGAGCTATCCCACACCTGTGCTGCTTTTACGGCCCTGCTGTGTTTGCACAGAAGTTTCCTTCACCGGCACCCCAAATCGGGGATTCAAGTTGGCACTGAATTCGCTCCAATGACCATCGGTTGACATTACTTGCCCAGAACTTACTTATCATTCTGGAAGCCCCCAGGGTTTCTGATACAGCATGTGCACTAGTGGCAGGATCAGTGCTAGGAGCACAATGGCGGCACCGAACCATTTGCTGAGCACTCCGTTTGTGTCAGGCATTGTTCAGAGTACTTTATATGTAAATGCCTCGTTTAAATCCTCACAGTACCCTGTTAGTCATTATCTTTTATAAATGAAAACGGGCAGACTAGCTACTTAATTTGCCACCGATCATGCTGCAGGCATGCCTGCCCAGCTGAGTAGGGCTTCATGCATTTCACCAAGTTAATAAAGGAGCCTTACGCTGCAGCAGAATAGTGAACAGGAAGGAACTCTTCCCCAGAGCCCAGCCCCTAACAGACCTCCTTTACTTCCCACTGACGAAGCTAGGTCACCGCCCATCGTCAGCCAAAGCAAAAGACTGGCTTAGACCCACTTTAACTAATCAAAGTGGGTCCCGGGGCTGTGCCCACGCGGTGGGGAGGGTGGCAGGGTGCGGAGACGACCGAACCTGAGCACTTTCCAGCCTAGATAGGTGTGAACAAACTCCAAGAACCGAGGAGCCGGAGCGCAGTGCAGCTCGGCCCAGCGCTGGACGGGCCCAAGCCCGCGGTTTGCGAAAAGTCGGGCGCAGGGACCCTGCTCTCGATGCACATGGGCCGAACCCCACCCCCGAGAGAGCGGGAGGAGGCCTCGGTTTCCCCTTCTGGCCAACCTGCAGAGAAGTAGGACGCCCACGAGTCTCCGACCCGGAAGCCACTGTGCACGGGGGAAAACCTGGCTAGAGACCGCAGCACGCCGCGTAGCCCCAGGGTCCCGCTCCCAGCGGAAGTGAGGCCGCCAGCTCTGGACTACAACTCCCAGACTTCCCCCGCAGCCTCGCCCATGCTGATTGGCTCCCTGTGCCGTCTACCAGCCAACCAGCCACGGGAAGACGACCGCACGGGGCTCGGTGACCAATCACAAGAGCGAGGAGGCGGCCGCTTCTCCAGCCGATCCAAGGTCTGTAATCAAAGCGTGGCGGGACCCGTAAAGAGTAGGTTCTTCGGAGCCTCACGGCTGATTCAGTGATCGGAAAGATGATATAGTCCGGCACTGTTTGAGAAATAATGACCTGGGGGAAATGTCTCCCTCTATCTGGAAGACTCTGGTCTCCCCGACTCCTGCCTGCGGCACTCACCGGTAAGACTCACGCGGTCCTGCGGAGCCCCGCCCCCGCCCCTCATTGGCTTCCCTGGGACACGTGGGGTAGGGGGCGTGGACGCGGCGCCGTGGGCGGGGCCAGGCCTCAGGTGTGGATGAGTAGTCTGCGGACTCTGACCTGTGGGCCAAATGGACACTCTAGCGCTGGGCCGCTGGCGACGGCGGAGGCCGGAGGAGCTGCAGGTGCCGGGGGATGCGGTGAGCCCCCCGGGGCCGGGGCGTTAGGAACGGCAAGGTGGAATCCGTGGGTGGGCCCTCAGTGGGCTTCGCGTCTCCCGGCGGCCCTGTCTGGGAGGAGGCCTGTGGGGAGCCGCCCGCGCCCACTTTTGGGGCGGAGCCCGGGATGGGCGGGGCCCGAGTAGCGGGCTCTCTGGCCGCGCCTGCGCAGACGTGCGGGACCCTGCCGCCGCCGGGCCCGTAAGCTCCCAGGGACTGGACACCAGCGCCCCTCAAAAGTGAGTGCGGCTCCCTGCAAGGCCTGAGGGACTCGGCGCGTAAGGCCAGGTGGTGCCCGCGCTCTGCACGCTGCGGTTCCAAGGGCGGGCGCTGGGCTGGGTGGGCGGGGGGCCGAGATAAGCAGACGTGTCAAGCCTGGGGTGCCTTGTGAGTGCTAATTAAACCACCGACACCGGTTAGTTCGTCACGGTTGCTGTGACTGTTGAGGGATGCTGCGTGCGGCCTTCCGCGGACCGTAGTCTGGGCACATGCTCTTGGCAGACATGTCTTTCCTTTACAGCCACTCACGGGTCCTTGCCTTCGGTCCAGAGATGACAAGCGCCAGCTGCTCGAAAGGGCAGGTGATTTCGAGTTGGGATCTGAAATGTTTTTGATGCAACTGTGGAAATTTAGATGTGGATAAATCGTGAGGTTCCATCTGCCATTTTCACCGTTTCTTGGTCTGATGAATAAGCTGACCCCAAATGAGGACCCGAGGGTATTTTATATCCACTGCGCTCTAACTTTCAGACCTACCTTTGCTAACACCTGAAAAATTGTAAAGTAAGCAGCCCTTGTCAGCAGAACCGCTTAAACGTGGATGGCTTCACCCCATTCCGGTAGCCCTACGGGGTCTAACTTCCACAGTGAGAAAATTCAGGAGCGTTTTCTTGGTTCGCCGTGTAGGATGGAGGTTTTACAGCTCTTCCGCTGGGTGGGATCCCCTGGGGACCTAATGCGGACCGCTGATGATGCAGACCCCGAGGAAACTCCGATTTTGTCTTTCTGAGGTCACTCTTCACTCGAAATACTTGTAACCCACTTCTCCAGAAACAAGTTAATTCTCTCATTTTTAACGTTAGTAATAATCTGCTGAGATGCTTCGCACTGTCTGACTGCAGCCATCCTACCATCCTGATGAAGGAAACTTATAATAATTCATCTTTGCTTATAACTAATACACCTGCTCATGCTGCCAACTACACATAGCCTCGGTCATTTCTCATTCTTGGCAGATTTCATATGACCTGGAAAAGTCAAAACAAGGTTGGTATCGGTCAGGAGGCAGTTTTCCAGGGTTGGGGGCTCTTGTAGGTGTCAGGCTCAGCAGTGACCCTGGAAGGACCGTGACTTGGAATCTGCTTCTTTAATTACTAGGTGCTCAGACCCAGTGAGGCACACAGTAGGTGTTCGACAAGTACTTTTTGGCTGAAGAACACGTGAGGGCGTGTGCAGGTGTTTAACTGGGAGGCACGCTGACTGTGCCGCCGGGGGTTTCAGACGACCACTTGTATAGGAGAAATGACCCTTCGACCAGTGAAGCCCCAGTGGTGTGCCCTGTCACCGCCCTTCATCACCTGGACTGTGGCTCCCGCCTTGGGGCTCGCCCTTGCACTGACCAAGACCGCATCCTTTAGCTTTCTTCGGAGTGTACAGTGAAGCGACTTCTCATACATTCACGGTTGTGCAACCATCACCGCCCAGTGTTAGGACATTTTCATGGCCGTTTGTAGTCACCCCCATTCCCACCCAGCTCCAGCAGTTGCTAATCTACTTCCCGTCTGTCCACGTTGGCTATTTCTGCGTTTTATGTAAATGGGATCATATGATATGTGGTGTTTGCCGCAGGCTTCTTTCACGTAGCTCACTTAGCAAGATGCTTCTGAGGTTCATCCGTGATGAAGCATAGATCAGTACCTTGTTCCTTTTAATTGCGAACTAATATTCTGTAGTGCGAACATGTTGCATTTGGTTTACCCTTTCATCAGTTGATAGGCATTAGGGCTGCTTTTCCTTTTTGGATATAAAAAATAGTGCTGAAAATTGGGAACATTTACGTATAGATCATTGTGTGGACACGTTTTCATTTCTCTTAGACACCTAGGACTGGACTCGCCAGTTCCTGTGGTAAGTTCGTGTCTCACTTTCTAAGAAACTCCCAAACTGTTTTCCAAAGTGCACCCCACCGGGGACTCGCGCGGGTTCCGGGGACTCATGAGGGTTCTGGGGACTCGTGAGGGTTCTGGGTTGTCCACTGCTTCATCCCGTCTGTCTTTTTGATGACAGCCACATAGCCATTTCAGTTAGATATGAAGTTGGTATCTACCAGTGGCTAATGATTTTGAACATCTTTTCATGTGCTTATTGATTACTCATATCTTTTTTGGTCAACTGTTAAAATTTTTTGCCCACTTTTTTTAGAGAGCTTTATTTACGTGTAATTTGCGTAATTAAGGCGCATGGATCGGTGGTTTTCAGTATATTTATAGAGTTGCGTAAACATCACCATAATCTGATTCAGAACATTTTCCTCACCTCAGAAAGCTACCGGGGACCCATTAGCAGTTACTCCCTGTTTCCCTCCCCGGCCCTAAGCAACGGCCAGTTGACTTCCCGTCTCTTCGGATTTCCTGTTCGGGACAGTTCACTAAATGGAATCCCAGAATACTTACTATTTGGCCTTTGTGACTGGTTTCTCCCACTTAGCATGGTAACGTTGTTGAGGCACATCCGTGTTCAAGAGGGTATCAGCGCATTCTTCGTCTTTGTCCGTAACTGGCGTTCCATTGTCTGAGTAGGCCACAGTGTGCGTATCCATCTATCGGCTGACGGACATTTGGGTTGACGCTTCTGGGATTTTATAAGTAATGCTGCCTAGAACATTCATACACACGTTTTGCATGGACATACGTTTTCATTTCTCTTGGGAAGATACCTAGCTAATTGTGGAATTGTTTGGCCGTATAGTAAGTCTATGCTTAACATTTTGAGGAATCACCAAACTGTTTCCCAGAGCAGCTGCCCCCTTTCCATCCGCACGAGCGGGGGGCGGGGGTCTGACTCCCCCACATCCTTGTCAGCACTTGTTATCATCTCTTTTTGATCGAACCATTCTAGGGTGTGGGGAGTGGTATCCCATTGTTTGTAATTTTCATTTTTCTAATGTCTAAAGATGTCGAATACCTTTTCATGTACTTATTGCTATTTTCTATATCTTTGTTGGAAAAAATACTACTCAAATCCTTTGCTCATTGAAAAATTGTGTTGTCTTCTAATTGAATTACAACTTCTTTTTATATCCTGGATACAGATCCTTTAACATATGTATGATGTATAAAATTTTCTCCCAGAATGTGGCTTGACTTTTTACTTTCCTAATGGTGTCTTTTGAAGCCCCAAAGTTTTGGATATTGATGAAGTCTAATTTATTCATTTGTTTCTTTTCACGGATCATGCTGTCGGTGTCATATCTAAGAAATCTTGACCGAACCCAAGATCACAGATATTTTCTCCTATGTTCACCACTGAAAATGTTATGTTTTCAGCTCTGATGTTTAGATCTCTGATCCATTTTGAGTTAATTTTTATAGATCATGTGTGATAGGGCCCTAAGTTCCTCCTTTCGCATGTAGATATTGGATCGAGCCAGCACCATGTCTTGTAAAGAGTATTCTTTTTCCATCGATTGTCTTGGCATCCTCGTCAAAAGTCGATTAACCATAAACGTATTTTCGCTTCTCAATCCTATGCCTTTGATTGTTATGTTTATCCCTATTCCAGTACCACACTGTCTTGATTATTGTAGACTTATATTGAGTTTATGTTGCATTAAGTTTTGAAATCTTTTTCTTATATCGTTTAGTTTTTAGTGCTTCTTTAGTTGTATTTTTCAGCCTTATCTCCCCGGTTGGACTGAAAGCTCATTGGTGACCCAGCTGTCGTTTCAGATCACCAGGCCAGCTATGGGTTTTGGACTTTGTGTTCCTCATTTATGAACTAGAAATAAAATTCCCCGCCCTTCCTATGGCACAGAATTAGTGGGAGGATCAAATGAGAGAACAAATGTGGAAACGTTGTAAACTGTATTTCACGATGGGAAGGGATGCGTGTTATGCTCCACCTGTTGTAAGTAAATTTGTATGTCTGCTTTCTTGAGATCCTTAATGTTTCTTAAATTAATTTTTAATAAGTTTATCGGGGTGACATTGGTTAATAAAAATATAGGTTTCGAGTGTACCATAATAACATGTCATCTGCGTATTATGTTGTTTGTTCACCACCCACAGTCTCCTTCCATCGCCATACATTTGACCCCCTTTGCTTCCTCCTTCCCTCGCTTTCCTGGTAACCACTAAACTGTTGTTTGTGTCTGTGAGTTTTTGTTTGTGTTGTTCATTTGCTGCTTTGTTTTCTGTTGCACATGTGAGTGAAATCGTATCGTTCTCAACTTTTTCTGTCTGACTTATTTTGCTTAGCATGATCATCTCGAGATCCATCCATGTTGTCACAAACGTGGCAGTATTTCGCCTTTTCTTACGGCTGAGTGACACTCCGTTGTATATATGTATCACATCTTTATCCAG